TTGCCAACCCTTCCAGTAGGCTTACTATCATGAATATTCTGGAAGCGAAAGAACGTATAACAAGAACTCAAACCGTTGTGAAGGAAAATGAGGTTTGTTTATTGAAAATCATTAATCATATCTTAATGTGCTTTCTTTTTTAGATTACTGTTACTGCTCTTTCAGTTTTTTACAACTTAATTATTCTTAATGCTTTCATGTAGGCTGGCATCCAAAGCACCCATTCGTCTAGCCTATCTTTGACTATCAGTGGATCCCCTCCAAGATCACCAACACAAGTATCACCTGACAACATTCCATCTGAGGTGTTGACTCCACATCATGCTCTGGCCAACGGAACACCTACCACTAGCTCCAAAAGAAAGTATGACGCAATTGTTGAGTGCGACAAGTAGGACAAAGTCTATTATGCTACCCTATCACCAACTATCATTCTGATCTACCATTTATGTTTTTTTTTTTCCGATCAATTACTATGTTGAGAAGATAGACAGATCTAATAGTGATAGACATATGTTTGTTTCGCTTTTGCACCACTTTGATGGTGCTGATAACAATGGATTGCATATATTATATACTACAGGTGTGTTTAATTTGTAATAGAGAATTATTGATTTGCAGTTCAAAACACATAATTCCACTAAGATTCACTTCCTTACTCTCTATAATTGAACATGCCTTCAGACAATCAAAGCTGTTGTTCTTTCATTTCATAAAATATCGGCCCAATAGTTAAAACCTTATTAATTGTTTAAAACAACAAGAAGCCCAAAACTTCAAAGCCTTTGTATTATTTAACAAAAAACACGGGCCAAAAATGAAAGCCCAATCGATATTTAAAAACCTTCATCAGCTGAAAGAAGTAGAGCTGTCTTGTATGAAACGTGAGGGAGTTGCTGCTGTTTCTCTCCTTGTCCACCTGGTTTTGTCGAAAAAGAAACCCTAGAAAAAATAACCTGCAGCTGCCGCCTTGCTGGTGCCCCATCTCCCGCAATCGACCCCATACAGAATCGTACTGGTAAGTATTATATATTCAATCTATTCTTTCTATTTCTTTTCCCTTTGATTTCCTCATTTTGTCTTCTTTCACAGTTGGAGCAAGAAGTTATTGCTGCCCCAAAACTTTATCACAACCCGATCTGCTATTTTGGGCGACAAGAGAAGGGAAAATGTTGCCGAAAGACCCACATGGTATATTACAATTAGTTGAAAAGAGGTGTGTTCGGATGCTTTTAGATGTAATGACTCAGTTTCCATTTTGCTTTTAGATGTACTGGTTGAATCCACAACCTTTCGTGAACTACGTCTTGGAACAAGCATCCATTTCCTCATGGCTATACTGTTAAACATATGGTCAGAATGTGAATCAGATGGAACTAGATCTATTACCTCAATGCATATGCTTTGGTTAGATAAAGAGGTATGTTTATAACCATTAAACACCTATTGGTTTTACTCTTATCACAAAACAGTTTCTTTTAGCTCATTTCTAACATTTTAACTCCTTTAGGGACAACTTATGGAAGCAAATGTACCCTATGAAGATTCTGCTCACATTTGTAAGGACATTGAGATTGGTTGTCTCTATACCATGATGAATCCAACTGTCATTCCAGCTAGATCTGAACGACGCACTGCGCCTTCTAATTTGAGATTGCATTTCTCAAAGGGATCTTCATTGAAAGCGATGACTGAATATCGGAGCACAATGCATTTTCCAGATGATTGCTTTCTTCAAAGTCCTTTCAATGGTAGTGGTTCTTCAACAAGTCTTCCACCTTGCTTCTCATGTATTAATTGTTTAGACATAACCCACTGATTTCAACAGATTGTATTAGAAATTGATGTGCTAAATATTGTATATTCCAAAGATCACATTGAACAAAAAAACTAAAACATTTTCATATTTCAGATATTAGAGGATGTGAAACGCATATCACCGAACCAACTAAAGTCAGTTATGATATATCTATGTTCCAGATTCATCTTGAAGACATGAGGTACCACTTATAATTAGTTACTATAATGTCTTACTGAATCAAGATTAGTCTATAATCATACTTATAATATGTTTTGCAACTTTATAGTGGAAACAAAGGACTTGTGAGTTATATTGGCACAAGAAATAAATATTTCATTGAACGTGCTACTGCCAAAGAAGTTCATTATCCTCTGGTTGTGACAGCAACAACACTGACACGAAACGTGCACGAATTTGACCATATTCCACCGTTCTGTTTCATAACATCTCCGGGTAGTCGTCTTATTGTACATCCGTACAATGAGATGACCAAAGATTTAATGAACAGGTAAATTGCTATATTTATATGTTCATTTTTAATATATTTTGCATGCTTTTTCCTACAAGTTGTCTAATTTAACTTCCAAAACAATCTAGGTTCTTTCCTAACAGACTGCATGTGGATATCATTGACTACAAATCAAAAGAGCGTCTTGGATACCTTCGGCGCAATATTCCCCCCAGAATCTCATTATTAGAATTGAAGAACAAGTTGCCTTTAGGAGATGAAGAAACAGAGGTAACTGTAATTACCTTCTATGCTCTGTTATACATTTGTCAATGAAATATATTTGACAAATATAAATGAGTTTCAAATAGACTTTCAATAGTAGCAGTGTTTTCAAATATGCCTAAATTCTATTTTTTGTCTTTCTCCTATATCAAACTATATGACAGATACTCTATCGGTGCAAATTGAAAATAGTCAAATTCGACCTTGATTCAGTGACTCGTCAGCTTTTGCCTGGAGACACTGAGTATTTCCAAATACCTTTGCTTTTTGATTCCCCATTGTAAAACTACTATACATTGTGTAAATGTATCTAATCTACATATTTGTTCAGATTATTCTATGAACTGCAGGCTGAATTTGAATAAGGAAATCACAGGGCAAAGGTCATTCTGGACCATGGACCTGCTCTTGCTCTGCTTTGTATGCCACCGACCGAGTTTAAAAAATTGCCATATGACAAGCGAAGTCAGTTGCTGAAAGAATGTTGTAACATCAAATTCATGGCAGAAGTATTCATCCCTGGATCAGAATATGAAGTTGAACCACATATCCGCATGTTTGCAATTTGGCATCCAAAAGAATTTCAACCATTAATGGATCTTAAACTGAACCTATAAACACTTTCTTCATTTTGCATTCGAAGAAGGTACATGTCTTTTCTTTTTTATTTCAACTAGAGGAGAATATTGATATTTATTAACACAACTGAGGCTTTACATTTAATAATTACCTTCTACTTCTGTTATTATCTCAGCTGGTAAGACTAAGGGATGAATTAGCTGGTTGCCTGAGAAAGAATCAAGGGAAGGCAGAACTAGAAGAAATGAATTCCAATGTTATTTTGTGCATTTCATCTTTTCGGTAGTAGAAGAAGTACTTTTATATTGTTATTGTGATGTAGTATTTATATTCTGACTTAGTAGAATAGATACTTCTGTGATTTCACTCTTCACCGTATGCACTGCATTTCTACACCAACTGCATTTTTATCCTCACATTGTTCGAATGCAAGGAAAAAATGGGATAATTGGAAGATAAATGAATAGTGACTACCCATATTATAATAGCAACAATGAAAAAACAAGATCCCCTATTCTCACACCTTTGTGGTGCCCGGAACATTTACACACCTAAATTACATTTCCAACTATTGTATGTTACTCAACTAAGCTGCATCCGGCCATCGGGCCGGGCAATAGGCTAGTTTAATTGAAAGCAGGATACATACTCAACTGTAAACTTATGGCCCAATAACATCATCTAAAGTTTATTCAAGTGACTTTTTGGATCAGAACGTCTGTTCTCATCTTTTTACTTGTCTACCTTCGTACGAAACTCAGAAAACGCAGACAAAGAAATTGACAAGATTGCAGGTGCAATTCACTGAAACTGATCAAGAAGCAAAGTCGCGCGCTATTCGGATCTACAACTTCCTCCTCCGCGCTTAAGTTCACAACCTAGCCTGTAAATCCGGGGACAAACATCTTCTGCTTCTTGATCCTTTGTGACGGGAAAAACCCAATCTGCCGAGGAATGCCCAAACCCGGGTGGATACAGGGATGAGTCGCAATTTACTATCCATAGCTTATTCTGAGCGAGGATGGGTAATACCCGTTTGCAGTTGCGGGCGGGGAGTGGGGAGCCACTACCCGTACCCATACATACCCACCTGTTGCCATGCCCAGATAAGATATTGTTTTGGGGTGGAAGTTAATTCTCTGCTTAGGTTTTTTATGGCTTGTTCATCATGACTGTGCTGACATGGCCTAGACAGGTAGTCTCCAGGAATGGATGTTTTGAGTCCCAGTGGGGTTCAATTCAACTTTTTTGGTATAAGGTCAATGACTATTCTTTTTCTGGAATGAGTTTTCCTGGTATAAAGTGGGTGGTATTGTTGGAGTGAATCCTCTTTGTCGTAGCTTAATAGATTTCGTGTGGGTATATAGCTGAACTCTACATCTCATTCAGTTTTATACAATGTTGTTAAAATTGAGCCGAGCTCGTCAGTTCGATCAGTGAAGATATGGCACCAGCTCAGTTCGAACTAGTTATTTAGCTCCCTACTTTGAACTTATGTTACCCGATTTGTAGGTTGATGGCCGTTGCTCCCGCTTTGGTGCGGCAAAATGTGCTTTCTGAATGATCATTCATAAATCGCGAATTATAATTGATCGGGGTGTGAACCACTTTTAACAAAACTCAATTGAGAAGATGTTTTAATCTGGGACTTGAAGTTTGAAAGCACTCCTTGGGAGAAGTTCACAATTATTATTTAACGCAAGCTTTCTTTAGATTTACCTATACGGTGAAATCAAGTCCAAGCCTGGTAGGGGTGGGCTTGGGCTTGAACCGAACTGAACAAGAATATACCGGTACCTCAGAATCACTCAAAGCTCAAACCAATTCCGAACCGATGTTCCTATCTTCTCCTCCCACCCACTACTTCTTCTCATCGACCACCCACAAATGACAAAACCTAATTAATTTCTACCACAACAAAATCAATCTATGCCATCTCTCACTTCCTCCTCTCCTTCCCCCCCTCTCCCGCAACCACATCTGAAATCCTGCTCCATAAGTCGCCGGCCGCAATCCTAGAGAAAGCATCACTGCCCGGCGAGGCCCTTCTTCCTCCCTCCGCCGTCGGGTCGTGCTCAGATACCTTCGCCGTCGGGTCGTGCTCAACTCCCTTTTTCTTACGCCGCATGCAAAGCCCAGATCTCTCCTTCCGTCGCCAAAGTCGTGCACATATCTCTCCTTCTCCAACGCCAATCTTCCCCTGTCGGCTGTCTCCGTCGATGATGCAAGCGGCGCCGGCGTCGTCGATGATGCAAGCGGCAGTGGCGCCATGGGCACGCAAAAAAGGAGCGGTTTTTTAGTGTGTTTAGGCGGGATTGAGCTGTGAGGGTTGATTGGTTTTTGGGTGGGCTTAATGGCAGAGGGGAAAATGTATGGGTTAAGTGAGTGGGCTAGGGTTGATGGAGTGGTTTTCGGTGGGCTTTGATGGCAGATGAGAAAGGTTTGGGCTGAGTATGTGGGCTTAGAAGCCATATGTCTAGACTAGCTTTAGTTGTTCGGTTTCTCGGTTTTGAGATCGGAAATTCGGTTTGATCGACAAGAACCTGGTTACCGAACCAACCACATTCCCTTTCCGAATTATGAACCGAACAACTTTAGTTCGGTTTTGGTTCGCTTTTGATCGGTTTGGGGTTAGTTCGGGTTTACCGGGTCGGAGAGTTGATCGGTGGCGAAGACAAATTCAGGAATCAATACGTTACAGAGATAAGAGTCCCGCCTGCGATTCTCAGCAATTAATATATATAAACCTAAATATAGATTACTATTCACTAATATTTTGACTCTTGAGTCCTACTTCCTCTCCAACTCCTTACTTTTAAAATAATTGGTTTGCCCCCAATGGCAAACGTCATTGTGGCTAGGGATGACAATGTGACGGGTTTGGGGCGGGTTTGCCTAAACCATCCCCGTCCCCATTTCAAACACTCAAACCCATACCCTGCCTCATACCCATGCAGGGGAATGTTTTGCAAACCCATCCCCATACCCGTGGGTTTCGGGTACCCATGGATAATACCCTGTCACGCCCTACTTCATTGGAATTATCTTCTTATATTTTGAAATGTGGTTGTGGAAGTCCGAAAGGGTGCAGGGGATTTATTGGGAATGTAAGGTTAGCAAATTGTTAGAAAGCCTAATGAATTAATTGAACTCTAAATACTAAAACGTGAATTGAATATGTTGATTAGGTAGTTCCCGTAGAGTGGCACAATTTTTTTTTTTAAATGTGATCAACCCCCTATTTGTCAAGGTGATGGTTTCATAAAGAACGAGGAAAGGAGAAGGGTGGATAGATGGCTTTTTGACTCCTGACTAGAGGAGTGAATTCACCCCAACCGTGACTACTGAGTGGGTTGTAATGAAAGAAGCATTGTGGTCTCTGGATCTTCCATTCTTAATTATCTTGAAGAACCCATTTCCCATGTTAGGGTTGTATCCAAACACGTGTAGCTAGGAATAAATGAGAAGAGGGATGATCGGTTGGGGGATGTCTCTATCTGAAGGGAGGAGTGGATATATATAACCACTTCATCTCTTCCATGATAAGGGGCTGAATGGGAGACTTTCAAGCCTAGCTGATTCCCTTAGCTAACCCCTTCTCAAACACTTATCACAACCTTAGTTAGAGAGGGAGTTTCCAGGTGGTGGTCGGTGAAAGATTACACCCAAACTAGGTAATTGCCTTCCTTCTTTGTGGTAGCTTATGGGTATCTATGAAAAGAAACCCTTAAAGTTACATGCATAGAGATGAATGAAGTACTCCTGCCTAGAATCGTCCGGAAGTTTTCATCTCAGTACTCGTAGAGTAGCCGAGTGAAGCTTAGGAAGTTCAGCGAAATATGATTGCAGGGGTCCTATTTGCGTGGGGAAAAAGAAGTGTGTTTGGGGTGGGGATGATTATTCTGGAAATGGAAGAATGTACATATATATACCAATCATGTGGATATATAAAGAGGTGGCTTGTCCGTGATATATATACACACGAGTTGGGTATGGGTTGTTAAGTGGAATTATATTGCAAGGATAGTGAATTACATCCTTGGGATGTATAATTATATACATACATAATGGTAATTAAAGTGGGAATGATGATGTTATGCACGTTAGCTTCTTGATAATGGTAAGTTGAGTTGTTAATTGTTATTGGGATTTTTTATTGCTTACCTTGTGCTGTTGAGTTAAGAAAGTGGATAGTTAAGTATGATTGGAGTGGGGCTGGAGTAATAGATGTGCTTTTGGGAATCCTGGATGGGTAATATATTTTTGGAGCGGTGGTGTAGCTATTTAAATTATGTTGCAGCCCCAATATACATTAGCCCTCTTGTTTTAACAATATGATCTTTAAACTAATTGAATAAATCAAGTGGTATTGGTTAATTGCTAGCCTATTAAACGTGATTAATTGATTTTGTGTAAAGGAATGCAACAAGCAGGAGAATCATCGAAGCAAAAGGGAACAACCGAATAAAAGTCGTACTGTGAGTGATTCTTAACCTAATATATATTTTAGTATGGGCATGGTATTCGGGTCATGAAGCGGCCCAAATACGTGGACTTGTGATAGATCGATAAATGAGCTATGAATGAGTAAAAGCTTATATGATGAGAATTGATAATGTGGATATGTATGAGTTTGATATTTTCAACGTGCATTGATGAATGAGCTATGTGAAGAATGTATTGATGTGCAATTGAGATGATTGTGTATAGCATCGATGAGTATATGATATGATATGTGTGCCTACGGGCTTATGACGAGATGCTTTACATGAGTATTGTCTAACCCATGAACTACGTGATCACCTAATAAAAATATAATGGCGCCTTGTTATGCACTCACGAAAAGAAAAAAGAGAAGAAAAGAGTTATACGAGAACTCCCTATAAGGAGTATCGAGATATGGCACTTCGTGCCCACGAGATTACGACTTCATAAGATATGTCACTTTGTGCCCACGAGTTTATGAGATTTGGCACTTTGTGCCTACGAGATTACGAGATTACGAGTTCACGAGATCCCGGGGAGGGCATAACTTGGCATTAAAAGTAAAATGTACATAACCTAGGTAACTATGCTTGTGTTTGAGCCTTGGTACAAGGATTTCCTGTGATGTGGCTAAGTGATGTTTCCTATGATGAGTTTAATGGATTGTTCATGAGATTGGCGTATTTATGTGAAGGCTTTACTGGGATGTGTTCATGCAATGGTCCATTATGAGATTGTGTAGTTGCTACATGCCTCCATATGTTGCTGATTATATGGTGATACAAAAATGATGTGTTAGTGAATGTTTTTACCTGGAATAGGATTTGATATGAGTACCTCAAGGGTAAGTGTGTATGATATGAGAACCGCTTAGATTGGTTAATGAACCTTGCATTCATAGTTGGGTAAACAACCACATTTCGCAACCAAAGGAAAAAACGACGCCATGTGACTTCCATTCAGAGAGCCTTGATGCAGTTGACCCACAAGTATGTTGCACCTGTTTTTCCTCACCGGGTCAGGATCAAAACGTGTCAACCCACAGGTTGACAAGCTTGACTAGAGATGTGGTAAATTTTGTAAAAATGAGAAAAATACTATATGACTAAATTTAGTGCATATCTTGAACAATTTTCTTTTAATTCGTAAAATAAAATATATTAATGAAATTCCTGTTTGTTTTACTTTTTCAAGATTCTCCATTTACAATGATCACTAGAAAATCGGCTGACATACATAGGTCTTTTCTTCTTATCATAAATAAATAACCAAAATTAAAAGGATATGATCATGTACTCAAACGAATTACATCTCAACAGACAGCCACCCACACAATTGCCAATAAACATGTGGCAAAGCGCGCATCACCGTCTAGTTGCAGTTAAGATTGCAAGACCAGAAAAAAGAGAAACCAGAATATATACTTTTCCGCAAATCATAGACTCAACGATATGCTGTAAATAGAGAAATGATAAGTGAAAGTCGAAATAAGAAAGGTTGAGCTCCAGAAGATTAGTAGGAGAATGTAGAAATAGAAAATGGCTAAATGCTGAAGGAAATAGAGAATGGATGCCACGAGTCAGAAGAGCTGGCAGGTGGTTTCCGTTGGTGCAATTAAAATATTGAAAGTGTGGATTATTTTGCGTATTCAAATTTCACCTCATTGAATTGTAGAGAAATTATTGGCACTAATTATTAGTTCCAGTTACTGTTAAGAATAACTTCATTTTCTTAACAATAATTGTATTAGAGATAATGTTAACAAGTCAATTTTTTTTCTAAGGCAAGCCCAAAGGCAATGGACAAAGACTCGACACATTTACAAGACCAACTAAAAAACTACACGATAGTTCGTATGCAGCCAACTACCGATGAAAGAGTCAGTTTTAAGCCACTACTAGGGCAGCTCTGAAGAAGCTCCGAGGAGCAAAGACATGCACTGATGGGAGAAAAGAAAAAACCAAACATCTCCAAGAAAGTCTCCCCTCCCACCAGCAAGTGTAGTTTCCCTCGACGGAGTATGTCAGATAACAAGTATTGGATTGCCACAAAAAGCCACAACAAAGAAAAGAAGAAAAAACATTAGCAATCTTCAAAAGAGCATATTTAATTAGGGGTGAGCAGTGGATGGTTTTATGCTGATTTGCGATTGGTTTGGAACCACCCACTATGTGGTAGGTGAAGGAGAAAATGACTCACACCCACCCAAGCATTACATGTGAGTGGGTTGGGTGATTGCGGATGATGGTGGTTGGGTGGATTCGGTGGGTTTACAACATATATTCCATATGATAACATAATTTCAATCATAAAAGAACATAATATTAATAGTTTTAAACTTAAAATGAAAGCAATTTTCAAACTCAATAACCCTTAATCCACAAATTAGGAGAATAATTTATTTTACAATATTGGTATTGGTAATTGTTCATAAATTACAAAATATTCAACTGATAAACATGGTCTAAGCCTGATAATAACTAAGGTTTAAGAGGCACTATGCATAAGGCAAACATTTTGGTCTTGCCTAGCGCCTCATTCGCCTAGGCGTTGTGAGCATAAATAGATTTTAACATATAGTTGCAAATTACAATTCTAAATTGTCGGAAGGCATGAAGGGCGAATCAGTGCTAGTTTGGGATAGTGTCATTTTGGGAAATGCAACTGTCTTTTTCTGCCATTTTGTATATTAGTTATGCTTAAGCGTACCTCCAATTTCCTAAACTCACCTCACAACAAAATCATTTGATCAAAACTGAGAGGATTTTTTATTTATTTGAAGGGTTCATTTTCGGTAAAACTATATGTTAAAACTTTGATGATTTAAGGTTAAAAAGTTTGGTGGGTCGTGGGTCAACCACACTCCACCCACACCCACCCAATTTTTTTTGGGTCGCCTATTTTACAACCCACACCCACCCATATGAACCACCCACATGATAATGGATGGGTCGATTGCGGTTGGATTTGGGTGGATTAGTGGGTTCAACCACCTAATGAACACCCCTACATTTAATTACATTCATAAATTTGTACAAGCGAATAAAATCGAACTATCACCTAAACAATCGATGAGACTTATTTCACTTTCTTCAATTACTTTACATACTATATTAGCACCTGCAAAATAGCCAACCACAAATACATGACTATAGTGCTAAAAATCTCTACCACCAGAAATTAAATCATACTCTTGAGACAGAGTCGATCTTATTGAAAATATACCC